CAGACATTTTTCATTTTTTTTTTGGCATCTTATAATACCGATAATCGATAATCCTCGCGTTAACGTGCTTTCCCGTGAGGCCTTTTATAAAGCCTTTCTGACTCTTGTGGAAGATGACCTGCTTTCTTAATTCGTGGTCCAGAACCTTCTCTATGATTCGGCGCAGAATCGAATATATGGTGATCGGTCTCCAGGTAGAGATATTGTTTATATCACCTTTGCCCTTATATATTAATATTGTGCGCCCTTGTCGAAGTGGTTCCGGAACATAGGCCACCTTCAGCATTATCTCTGCAATCGTTTTTATAATGTTTGATTGTGCGGATCAGACCTCCATCAGACCCCGCCGATATGTCCATTGACGTTGACTTAATGGCTTTCTTGACAGCTTCTACCTCAATGGACAGCAAATTTGGCATCGGGGCACACTGTTCGTAATCCGCACGCCCGCAGAGATTTTCGCTTTCAAAGAGGTCTTTATAATGGCTCTCGATTTCGGCCATTTTTAGAGGACACCGTTTAGGAGAGTCGGCATTTATTACAGTTTGCACAACCTTTTTTCTTTTATTGTAATAATTATATTGAGCAACCTCATACTGATACTGCTCTTGCCGACGACTCCTGTCTACTTTGTTTGCCCTCTGCGGATTTGAAACTTGTCCAGCACCCTTGTCAGCCATTTTCATTTTATTTTTTTCCTCATCCTATAAAATTTTACGGCTGTGTGCTGGGGACCTGGCAGTTTCGCATTGATAACTTTGAGGAACTTTAGGTACTTGCCTACGGCCTCATCAAAATCCGCAGTATTTAACATATTTTGCTTTAAAAGGTTCTTGAACGTAGTAGACCATCCAACAATGTCCTCTTTTATTTTTGATGACTCACCCTCTCCATTCCTAGGACCTATCACGTTCTTTACTATGCTTCTCAATGTATTGTTATTCGCCTCCCTAGAATGTTTTTTTGCAATGTGGGTTCAGAGAACTCGTTCGTGCTTAAAAAAAAGCCCGCATATCAGACAAACTTTATTATCAGGGCGTAGAGCTTCATTTTGCCGCTCAATAAGTACTTCTGCGACATTCAGCGGATCATTTGGCAATCTAGGAAAGACATCATCTATCGACACCTACTTTCCCAACACTACACCTTCTGTGTCAGGCCATTCCACTTTAATAAATTTATTTTCTCCGCCTCCTGCAGTAGCCACAGACATCACAGAGGCAACAACCGCCTCTTGAACTGGTCCTCCAGTTCTCAGAACCCATACCTTTTGTCCAACTTCGATCTTTTTCGTTGGTATTTTGTTCATTGCAATATTATTTTTTCGTTGTAGACTATGCCCACCACGCGCATGATTGCAACAATCTGTGCATAATTAAATAAATAAATAAATGTATGTGTGTGTGTGTAAATATATATATATATATATATAGATAGATAGATAGAAGAATCAACTTTATTCTGGGACTACGTCCCTTGAGAATAACAATATTGTACATAAAATTAACATTACATCTGACCAAAATGTATATTACAATAAACAAAAACAAACAAACAAAAAAAAACAACTAAAAAATAAGGGATAAAAGAAGTATTTACATAACTGTACAGATATAGGAAGCCTTAATATGAGAAATAAGGTCCTAATACTGTAAAATAGTTGCTATACACAATACGCTATGAAATTATAAATGAGCGACAAATAATAATAAAGATGTTATAGTAATAGTAGTATGTTCGAAGTACATAATAGTATAATCGAAATACAATAATAGTGTAATCGTACATACATAATATATACACACAGTAATACAATAATAGTGAGAATACAATAATAGTACAATAGTATATATACAATATACATATATTAATATATATATACATATACATACATACACATACACATATATACAATACAACAATAGTATAATAATACAATAATAGGCTACCCAGCGTCTGATTGAATTGTAAGGAGGAATTGGAAAAGTAGGGTTTTAAATGTGGATAAGGATGGTGCATGGCGGATTTTAAGTGGGATGGAATTCCAAAATGTGGTGGATCGGACAATAAAGGAGTGTTGAAATGAGGCCGATTTGTGGAAAGGGGTATAAAGGTCGGAAGGACGAGATCTTGTGGAGAAGGAGTGGATAGATGACTTGAATTGAAGGAGATTGAATGCGTAGGACGGCCGATGATTATAGATTATTTGGTAAAGGAATGTACCTAGGAAGTACTGTCTTCTGAAGGAGGGGAAGAGCCACCCTGACTCGGCGTAGTAGTGGGAAACATGAGAACGTCTCAGGATCCCATTGACAAATCGTACTAAGCCATTCATTATTCTTTTCAGTCTGACTCCAAGTTCCGATGAGAGGCCACCGTACACTACGCAGGCGTAGTCAATGTGGGGGAAGATGAGGGCGGATACTAGGAGTCTACGTGTGGATATGGGTAGGAGATGGCGGAAGCGATGGAAGAGTTTCAGGATGGAAATTGAACGTCGGAATATGAGGGAAATATGGTGATTCCAGGAGAGGGTTTGATCTATGATAACACCTAAGTTTTTAACTGAAGTGTTGAAGGTGATGGTTGGTCATTTAGGTACAGGAGAGGAATGTTGGTATTTGATCTGAGAAGGGGTTTGGAACCGATGACAATGGCTTGGGTTTTAGCAGCGTTTAACCTTAATCCATTTTCACTTGCCCAGGCACAAATCCGATTTAGGTCTTCTTGTATTTTGGCAAACGCATCATGCCATTCAGAGGGAGCGAAGGAGAGGTAAATTTGGGAATCATCGGCATAAAGGTGATGTGAACAGTGAAGGATTGATTTATGAAGGTCGTTAATATATGAACTAAAAAGGAGAGGAGATATGCTGGAGCCCTGTGCCACTCCTGAGGACAGAGTTAGATAGGATGATAAAGGTTGGTTCGGGATAGAGACTGCTTGGGTACGTTGAGAGAGGAATGATTGAAACCAAAGGATAGAGCTGTTGGAAAAGGATAACGATTTCAATTTGGAGAAAAGGATGGAATGGTTAATGGTATCAAAGGCTTTGGAAAAGTCCAGGAGGATAAGGACAGTTAGTTTTTTATCATCTATGGCTGACTGAACATAACTAACGATTTTGATTAGGGCGGATTGTGTGGAGTAGCCTGGTCGAAAACCAGACTGGTAAGGGTCAAGTTGATTGGACTGTTCTAGGAAGTTGGAAATTTGGGATTGGACTATTCGTTCTAGAGGTTTTGCAAGGTTAGACAGGATTGAGATTGGACGGTAATCTTCAGGGGAAGAAGGGTTAGGATTTTTAATTAAAGGACGGACAATGGCTTTTTTCCATGAGGAAGGGAATATTGCGTTCTGAAGGGAGAAATTGTAGATGAAAAGTAGAGCGGGAAGGATTTCAGGTAGGCATAATTTGATTATTTTGACGGGAATACCATCTGGACCAATGGAATCGGAATGAGATTTCATGACGGCGGATATGAGGTCTGTAGGAGAAATATCTGAAAAATAAAAGTTGTCGTCGTTAAATGATATTTCAGGAGTAAAGAAGGAAGAGGTTGATGGAGGAATGCAGGAGGAAGTTGATATAAAATATGAATTTATATCATTAGGTTTGACTGGATAGACTGCTGAGGAAGGTGATCTGGAAGAGTCACAGAGGGAGAGTTTACGAAGGAGTTGCCATTTGGTTTTGGAATCAGGAGCTGCTGAAAGGGCTTCGTGGAAATAGGAGGATTTGGCTCTTCGGATTTTGGTTTGTGTCAGGTTACGGAGCACCCTAAACGCTTGGTAGTCGTCAGCGAACCTAGTGCGTCTAAAGCGTCTGCGGGCTGCATCGCCTCTCTTCTGAAGATCTTTAATTTGCTGACACATCCAGGGAGCCAGGGGGCGACGAAAGGTATAGGTTTTGATGGGAGCATGGGAATCAAGGATATTAAGGAGGTTGGAAGTTAAAATATCAACCATAGAGTCAATACATGAACAGGAATATATTCCATTCCAATCAAGGGTTTCCAGGTTGGGTAAAATTTTTTCACGAGTGAGGACATCAATATTACGGAAAGTTATGGTTCTAGGTAGGATCGGAGGAGTATGGATATTATATGAAATTTGAATTAGGTCATGAGAGGATAAAAAGGAGACCGGTACTTGTGAGGAGGAAAGGAGGTTCTGAGCGGAGTCGATAATGTAATGGTCCAACCAGGTATCGGACCTGGGGGTGTGATGAGTGGGCGAAAAAGGAAGAATGAAAAGATGAAGAGAGAAAAAAAAAACTATATATATATATATATATATATATATATATATATATATATATATATATTATATATATATATATAGTTTCCTTTTGCACATAAATTATATTTAGTTTTCTTGTACTTTTAATGATTGTAACATAATTTTTTTTTTTCATTTATATCTTATGTAGGTTTTTTATGAGACTTTTCCTACTGTAAAAAATTAATTTCAATTTTCTAAGTAGTATTCAAACCACTATTATGTCATGTGTATGGTTACTACAACCATGAACTTGTAACTTATCTGTATGGCATGTTGTAATGTATATGTATATAAATACAAAGTTAAAAACTATAAAATCAAGTATTAAATAAATTGAATTAAAATATAAAATCAATAAAAGGTTAAAAAAATATGAATCTATCAAATGAATTGCTTATAAATAAGTTACAATATAGAATCAGTAAAAAGTTTAAAGTTAAAATTTAGGTACAAGTTAAAAATAAGTGAAAATAATATAATATAATAATATAATATAAAACGAAATAATAAACTATTTTCTTGTGAACAGAGGTTGATTATCCGCAACCCTGGACGGTAGAAATCTTTTCTACGTCACTGTATGCAGTTTTTGACTGTATGCCATTTGGCGCTTTTTTTTAGTGCGAAACCTCAAAATACATTTTCAGTTTGTTACTTTTCTATACACTTGACGACCTTATCTATTGTAATTGATAATTTTTATTTTACTATTGTACCTGTGATCCTGATAAGCTTTCCTTTATGTCTGAATGGAGTATATGGCAAACAGACTGAGCCGATAAACTTATTGAAAGCTATTCGTTCAGAAATGACTAGGATTGATATATCATTGATAAATGTATCGCTCTTAAATTCTTCATGCTGATGTATCCTAGATACACCATATTTTATCATGCTCTCGTTTTCTGGAAATAAAAGAGAATTATCAATATAAATTATTATATTGCCTAGTCACTGGATGCTTAAAAGGAAGATGGGTGTATACGGAATGACGGAACTGTCAGAATTAAATCAGTAAGGAGTCAAAAAATAATTAAATAAAGAATAAAATAACATAGATTGTAATCTTTTTATTTTATTTTATTTATCTCTCTGTCTGTCTGTTTATTATTGCCGACGTTTGTCCTTCTAACCTTTAATCTTTCTGTTAGTCAATTAACCTGGTATTCGTGTAGCTATTTAAGTTTGTAAGAATGGGGTGTATAAGCTTAGATAGGATGAGAAGGATAAGGTATATAAGGTAAGACCGCCAAGAATGATAGGGGGACAACCCCTACACATCCAGGGCTCTGCAACCGAGGAGGCAATCCCCTGACGTTGCGAGGATAGGATAAGGTAAGACCGCCAAGAATGATAGGGGGACAACCCCTACACATCCAGGGCTCTGCAACCGAGGAGGCAATCCCCTGACGTTGCGAGGATAGGATAAGGTAAGACCGCCAAGAATGATAGGGGGACAACCCCTACACATCCAGGGCTCTGCAACCGAGGAGGCAATCCCCTGACGTTGCGAGGATAGGATAAGGTAAGACCGCCAAGAATGATAGGGGGACAACCCCTACACATCCAGGGCTCTGCAACCGAGGAGGCAATCCCCTGATGTTGCGAGGATAGGATAACGGTAAGACCACCAAGAATGATAGGGGGACAACCCCTACACATCCAGGGCTCTGCAACCGAGGAGGCAATCCCCTGACATTGCGAGGATAGGTAACCCTACACTCCCAGGGACAACCTGGAAGATGCAAGGGGGACTGTAGGAAAACAAGGGCCAACCAAGTTATTCCTACGAAAGGAGAGAGGAGGTAGGTTAGGAGAGAATAGAGAGGGAGGAAGGTAAAACCAAAAAATAACACATTGGTCTGGTTTCAAACTGTCAGACAGAGAGACACCAGGAGCCTATGTGAGAAGGTGCCTGCCCTAGGGGCCAGGCTGCTATTTATACTAATAGTGAGCCCTCAGACCTGTGAGAGACAACACTAGTAACAATTATTTTAATTAGGCCCTGAGATCTCTAAGTCCAAACTCCTTTTATTTTTATTTAATTATAAATCATGAATACTTATTTTAAAAATATTACAAACGTTAGTTATTTACAAAAGCATTAATTACAAAAGGAAATAGTTTTAAAATGAAATATATAGTTCACTAGGCAATTAACAGGTTGCGCTACTAAAATTATTAATCATTATTAGAAAAACAATGACTTGCATAAATGAATAAAATAGTTCATTAGAACAACGCCTAGAGGGCGCCACGCGCATCCTCCAAAACACCATACCACTAGTCATTTACAATTCAACCTTTGACAGAGAAGGATCTCCCGTCCGTTAGCTCTAATACATCATACCTTTTAATCCTTATCGCTAGTTAAATGTTATTATTGTTTTTACAATTTCAAATTAAATCACAACTAAAATTAATACAATATCTAGAAATAAATTAAATTTATAAATATATTACATATAAATGCTCCTTTTCACACAGTTCAAAAATAATAAAAGAACAAAACATGAACATGAGTTCTATTAACAATTACAATTTATAAAGGCCCTAATAAAATATGTTACAAGATATAGTTATGAATTTTTGAGTAATTTGTCTAGAGATCCCGGTTAGACAGTTACTTACTTCGATTCTCATCCCAACCTACTCTACCGCGAGACACATTTAAAAGTTGTACTGATGGAAAAAATTATCACAACTTGATGGGAAAAATCCGAAACCCTTTAAAGACTTGTCGCTTAAAACACGGATAAAACACACTTTTTTTGCGTCCTCCCCTTCTTGAAATGTAAGGCTATACGGGGTTTTCCTGGGCCAGGAGTTGTGGGCAGGGATTTAAGAGACGCCTTAAAAGACTAAGAAGGGAAAAACCAAAAAAATAAATAAAAAAAAAGTCAATTAAATTGTAAATTAAGATAAATAAGATAAATGTGAACCACTAAATACTATGTATATACGGAATATTTAGGAGGTAAACATACTTGAAGTCCTTACGGTTGAAGTTCATGTTATTATTATTATTATTCCCATTCTTTATTCTCGCTTTGCTGGGTAAGTTTCTGAGGTGGGAGACAAGAAGTCCAGCCATTTCAAATTAATATCATTTACTTTTTAGATATTTAAAAACTTTCGAACAATACGTGCTGTGTCCAAGAGAACTGAGTGTTGAGCCTCTTTCAGCACTTCAAGAGGTAATTTTAATCCCATCGTGCCTGCCACTGTTGTCTTTGGTATCAATCCATTGGAGGATATTATAATTGGAGTCTGATGTTCCCCAAATGATATAATTCCTTCAGTTCGATTCCCAGTTCCTGGTATTTTATCAGTTTTTCTCCAACAGTGGAGCTTATATTATTATCATTGGATATCCCGACATCAATAAGCTCTGCTCTTTTCTCTCTCATATCTATCAGAAGGATGTCTGGTTTATTGTGACGCACAGTATGGTCAGTTATAATCGATTCATCCCAGTAGAGCTTGAGACTACCTTTTTGGAGGAGTTTATTTGGGTGGTATTTATAATATGGAGTTTTGTCATCTAACAAGTTGAACTTCACCGCCAGAGCCTGATGAAAAATTCTAGCCACATTGTTATGCCTCTGGAGATACTCGGTGCCAGCCAACACTCCACACCCACCTGTGACATGTTGGGTTGATTCCAGCGTCGCTGAGCATAATCGACATTTATCCGTAGTTGTTGCGTCTTTAAAAACATGCCTTCTATATGATCTAGTGGCAATAACTTGGTCTTGGATGGCGAGCAGAAATCCTTCTGTCTCGGAGAATATTTAAAGCTGAAGGTGGGGGACAAGTTCAACCACCAGCAGTTATAATATTTTAGATATTTAAAACTTTTCTTGTTATTCTCGCGATATCCAAGAGAACCGCTTGCTGAGCCTCTTTTAACACATCAAGGGGTAATTCCAAGCCGTCCGTACCTGCAACCGCTGACTTTGGGATCAGACCATTGGTTGATATTTTTATTGGTGTAACTAATACGCTCTCCAAATGGTACAACTCCTTTAATTCGATCGCCAGTTCTTGGTACTTACGGAGCTTCTCTCCCACGGTCGTGCTTATGTTGTTATCGTTTGGAATCGCGATATCAATTAAGTTTGCCTTCTTTGCTCCTAAATCCATAATAAGGATATCGGATCTGTTGTGACGCACTGTATGATCCGTTATTATAGATTCGTCCCAATACATCTTGAGGGAACCCTTCTGAAGCAGCCTTATCGGATTATATTTGTAATATGACACCTTTTCATCCAACAGGTTAAGTTTCACAGCCAGAGTCACAGTCAGAGTGGAATATTTTCGCCACATTGTTGTGCCTCTGCAGATACTCCATACCAGCGAGTACTCCACATCCAGCTGTGATATGTTGGATTGATTCGTACGTCATTGAACAAAGTCGAAATTTATCAGATGTTGTAGTGTCTTTAAGAACGTGCCTCCTATATGAGCTGGTGGCAATGACCTGATCTTGAATGGAACTCAATATTATTATTATTATTATTTATAGAAAGAAAGAAAGTAAATTTTATTCTGAGACATTTAGTCCCCTCAGAATATAATGAACAAAGAAGATCACGTAAAGGCACCTCTTTCCCTGATTGAGCACTGTCTAATGAATGAGTATAAATGCTAACATATCACCTTTACACACCCCGACGAAATTCCTGTCCGCGGTACACTTAAGTTACATCCAGCTTCCTTGCAAAATTTTCTAACATCAAATGCTTTTAGTCTAAAGCCCTTTATGTAACTAACGAAACCCTATATCATGACCTTAATTTCCATTTGTCCTAGTCCTCATCCCTAAAAAAAAATTCTAATTCCATCCTTTCATATCGTCCCAATGCACTTGCGCAATTCCTATCTAGCTTGACCTAACCATAAAATCCTTCTCGAAGGTTGAAGCGGTAGTGGCCCAGAGAGACCTGTAGTAAGCATATATTGGAATTATAGCAATGGCCAGATTCTCCACTCAAGCCATGTGCATCTGGTTATTGCACCTCTGCTCAGCCTCCACTGGCCCTTAATTCCATTTATGGTTCTGAGTGAGAGGTGCTGGGATCTCTTAGAGTCCCTCCTTTCCTTCTACGAGTGGGGAGAAAGGCTTTGCTCGAAGATCTTGAGTGAATGAATTTTTATAAATATTGTATAACAGCCTGTCTTTATTTATGTAGTTATTTTGAATAGTTTATATACATTGAATTTTAGTATATATATTTTGTTGTTTATTTATTTTTATTTATTTTAGATAGGAAAAAGTAGATAACTTTTAAAATTCAATCTATATTAAAATTGAAATAACTCGATATCGATCGACTTCTAGACGAAAATATTGAAAGCAAGAAGTACTGGAAAAAAAAAAGAACAGCTTTAAAAAGTTGATCCGGAAAGAAAAACCCCCTCTTCAAAAAAAAGAAGGTTAGTAATTTTTTTATCAGGTTAGTAAGAAAAGAACTAACCAATTGGTTTGAAAAAGTTCATCCCTCAAATAGCAAGTCACATTTAGACTTGCAGGATGACAAAACTCAAAAACCTAAAGTTGTAACTAATAGAAAACGAACTCCTGCCTTCATAAACCTTTCTAAGCAGGACAAAACAGAAGCGTCTACTCGTAGTAGAGGCACTAACCAGAAATCTAACTTATCGTCTATCACAAATACAACAAATGTTATCCCATCCAACGAATTACTTAAACAAACAAATGCTACTTCACCCAAAGAAATCGCACCTCAACCCGTTCCTATGTCGTCTAACACTCAGGACAAATTTTCAACCAACAACATTCCTAAGCCCCCTCTATAAATTTAAAATCAGTTAAAAATTTTAAAGAATTATGTCAAAATTTATCAACAGAAGTCGGTCCTCGCGGGTTTTATTGTCTTTCTATCACAAATGAGACAAAAATATTTCCATCTACTCCAGATGATTATCGAAAAATAATAAAACTATTAAAAGCACAAAATGCAACATTCTACACATATCAATTACAGAATGAAAAACCATTTCGTGTTGTCATTCGAAATCTTCATCACACTACAGAAATTGAAGATATCAAATTCGAACTCGAAGAACTAGGATACAGTGTAAAAAATATTAGTAACGCAAAACATCCCAAACAAAAGTACCACTACCGATATTTTTTATAGATTTGGAACAAAGTCCAACTAATCAAGAAATTTTTAATCTAGAATTTTTATTATATACTAGAATAAAAGTAGAAGAACCATACTTAAGAAAGGAACCACCACAGTGTCAAAGATGTCAAACCTATGGCCATACAAAAGGGTACTGTAGTCTTCCCGCCAAATGTGTTAAGTGCGCTGGACCACACCTCACAGCAAACTGTACAAAACCTAGAGAAACGCACGCCACTTGTACTAACTGCGAAGGTGCTCACCCTGTCAATTACAAAGGATGTGCTACATTCAAAAAAGTAATATATCTAAAAAACAAACCATTTGTCAACCATATAACCTCTGGATCAGGTTTAGAGATAGATCCCCTCTCTTCACAGACTCCAAATATAATGGATCCTTCAACAGCCAAATTAATATCAATAGAAACAAATGAAGAACACGTTAAATCAGTTAAAAAATTAGAAGAGAAAGATCTAACACCGCAGAGTAGTGATAAACCATTTACCGTGGCAGGGGTCTCCTGTGCTAAGGTAACAGGGAGATATCCTTCTACAGCTTCTATCCAACCTTCTACTTCAACTTTTGATTTTTCTTCAGCTATAAAATCTTCTATGGAACCTCTTCTAACTGAACTTAAATCCTTTTTATCGCCTATTTTAGAACTTCTAACTAAACTAGTATCTACTTTCATTTCTAATCCTTCCAATGACTAATTCGAAATCACCTTCTCTAAAAATACTCCTATGGAACTCCAATGGTCTGCTCCAACGAAAAAATGAACTGGAAATTTGTTTAAAAGAACATGACATAAACATAGCTCTGATTACTGAAACTCATTTAACAGACAAACAAACATTTAAGCTACAAGATTACGAAACTTACAGAACTGACCATCCAGACCACACAGCACATGGAGGAATTGCAATTATTGTGGACAAATTCTTAAATCACCATATTCTTCCTGCTGTTTCTACGAATTCCCTACAATACACCAATATTTCTCTAAACTCCTCAAAATTCCAACTCACGATTGCCTCAGTCTATATAGCTCCCAATAAAGTTATATCCACGAATGAATTAAAGGCTATTTTCTCGACAATGGGAAAATCATTCATTGTAGGAAGAGATTTTAACGCTAAAAACACAAGGTGGGGATCTAGAGTGTCCAATACTCCTGGAAAAAGACTACAAAAATGTATCGAAGATTTGAAATTTTCTGTAATTTTGCCATCTCAACCTACTTACTGGCCTACTTCACTATCAAAGTCTCCCGATCTTCTTGATTCCTTTGTCACAAGCTCCTTACCACATGCACATTCCAACGTTTCCTCTCTCCTTGACCTTTCATCTGATCATAGCCCAATTTTACTTGAACTTTCGAACAACCCTTTCGTTAAACCCACACCCCCGACATTAATTAAAGGTTACATAAACTGGGACGACTTTAAACATTTTTTGAACAACAAAATTACGTTAAACACTTTAATTAGTACAGCTGACGACCTCGACAATGCAGTCGACGACCTAACAAAAAGTATACAAGAGGCTATTTGGCATTCAACGATAATCTTATAAAAGAAAAACGTAGGATTAGAGCCCTATGGCAAAGAACTAGATATCCATCGTACAAAACAGAACTCAACAAACTAACTAGAAAACTTCACGAAAAACCATTAAAATTTAAAAATGACAGCTATAAAGACTATATAGATACAATAAACAATAGAAATGGATCAATATGGACAACAACAAGACGTATACTAAAGAAAAAAGACCTTCAATACCCTCTCCGACGTTCAGACAACACTTGGGCAAGCGAAGAAAAAGCCAATGAATTCGCTAAATATCTTGCACAAGTATTTGGGACAAACACAATACAGGACAATAATTTTACTGACGCAATAGAAGAAGAATTGACAACACCACTACCCTTATCACTGCCCCCACCGGCATTTCATCCAAAAGAAATTTATAAAGAAATCAACAGACTACCAAACAAAAAAGCTCCTGGCCATGATCTAATCACTCCCTTCATTCTTCGACACCTACCTCGAAAAGCTGTTTTGTTTCTTACAAACATCTATAACTCCATTTTACGCACTACCTATTTTCCTCTCCTTTGGAAACTCTCCACAATCAAAATGATTGCCAAACCTTCAAAACCTACCACTTCTGCTTCATCCTATCATCCTATAGCATTTCTTCCAATAATGGGCAAACTATTTGAAAAACTATTACTAAACCGTCTAAAACCTATTCTAGAATATAGTGAAGCTCTGCCGTCTTTCTCGACATAGAGAAAGCATTTGATAATGTCTGGCACAAGGGCCTATTATGGAAACTAAAACCGCACTTACCTTCCACTTATTTTTTAATTCTTCAATCCTACTTTCTTAATAGATTTTTCTGTACTTCCGTAGATTCTTCTGTTTCTTCCTTCTTTCCCCAACACAAAGGCGTACCACAAGGTAGCGTCTTAAGCCCAATCCTCTATTATGTATACACTTCTGATATCCCTGAGAACCCTAATACCACCATTTATTGCTTCGCTGACGACACTGCTATTCTAACTTCACACAAAAATCCTACTATCGCATCAATTGCCCTACAAAACCATCTTCATGGTCTTGAAAAGTGGTTTGAAAACTGGAGAATCAAAATTAATAGTACAAAATCCACCCACATTAGTTTCTCTCTTAGGAAAGCCTCATGTCCACCCATAACGATTGCCAATAATCCAGTGTCTTCAAAGAACTATGTACGGTACCTTGGACTCTACTTAGACAAAAGACTTACTTGGAACATACATACGAAATTAAAAAGACAAGAACTTACTAGAAGATATAGCCAAATTTCACATCTTCTGGACTACAGATCTTCACTTAACTTACGAAACAAGCGACTTATCTACAACACCTTACTGAGACCAATAGGGACATATGGAGCAGAACTTTGGGGTTCAGCAAAACTAACACACATAAACAAAATACAAACAGCACAATCAAAAACTTTACGAAAAATTGTTAACGCACCTTGGTACATTTCAAATACTACTATACATAACGACTTAAACACCCCAACAGTAAAATCCTACATCCACGACAAATACACTACATTTCATTCTTCAACCCAAAATCACTCCAATCCTCTGTTTTTTTCTATCTCCTGCTCCCTGTTACCTGAGCAACGAAGATTAAGAAGAAAATGGCCGAGACGTACTACATCAATAAAAACATCAACATAAAAAAAAAAAATCAAGCAATTACACCAAGACAATCAAAACACAACAAATTTTCTAGATGCGCAACAAGGTGCAAATTGCATAAAATAAAATATAAATAAATACATAAACAATTTATTTTACATAGTGTGATTGCTACTTCTCTATCACTATTACTATTGTTCTTAGATGTGACAGATTGTAATATTTTTTAATAAAGAATTAAAAGAAAAAAATATTTGTACTTACTCTCCTTATTTCTGGGACCCATTCTAACATAAACTTGGATGTCTTCGGGCTCCTTTTTATCAGTGCAATGTGCAGCCGTGAGGACATGATTTTCGGTGATGATGGATCCACCGCATCCGTTGCTCAGGTGCACCATCCATGGATACTCATTCTTATTGGTCACTTTTTCGTTTATGAACTTTTTCTATAATAACAATTTGTGGTTATAAAATGTGAACAGTAAAGTAACAATGAAAAAAGTTCTATAGACGATATTACCATGTTCGTCCGTCCACAGTTGCAGTTAAGATTTTGGTTTGTAACCCAGGAAATGCAGATTAACATTAAACATATCAATTCCTTCATTAATTCCTACTGAAATGAAAAGATAAAATTAAGCAGATTATCAAGCCAAGATTATATATTTTTTCTTCATAGTTGAGGGATGAATTTGGAAGGGAAAAAACTACCACGATGTATATGGTATCAGACCTGTCAGAGAAGAGACGATGTCTCAGGTATGAGGAATTCGAGACACCCTGGCTCATATGACATACTTTTGTACTCTCTGATGACTCTAAGCAGAGCCTTTGCTGGTTTGTCATCAACTTCCTCTTCTGTCGGTGAAAAAGATTCCGATTCCACGCATGGTATGCAAACCTCAGTACACATAAAACCATACCTTTATAAATTGTTGCTGGATATCTGAGGCTCCAGAAAGCGCCCCCTACTTGACTATGGCCGTTGAGACATTGAGCCACTCTATTTTTCAGATAGCCCAAGTGAGGAATGACGTTGCATCTCTTTCCGGGATTGCATCATTGTCCAACCATGTTGGCGCACCGTTTTGTTTGTAATTTTAAGTCGCCTCTGCTCTTGGAGAACACCACTGCGGACAAGTTATCTACGTAGTCAGTGCCAGGGAACTGCTCCTCTTCTATCACTCCCAGCAAGTCGTCAAATAGGCCAAGTACCGATCCTTGTAGGCATCCCCTCTCTATGGGTTCAGTTTCATTGGAGTTACCTCTACATTTTACAAGCCTGTCCTGTAGGTAACTCCTTAGTAAGGCATATATTTTAGTGGGAATTTTATATTTTCACACCTACTGGAATAATTGGCCACCAGACGCTGTCGAAGGCGGAGTATTTGTCGAAGATCAGCAACATAATATATCTCTTTACCCTTGTGATTGTGATTAACCATTCGAACTTCGACGTGATGGATAAGAAGGAATACTCTACGGCAGAGAATGTTACATATTTTGTTAAGTGGGTTAGTGTATCTTTTACACTGGTCTCATATACTTAACTAACGGAAGAGATATTGAAGATGATATGTCTGCCATGGGGATGATTACAACCAACAGTACAAAATGTGATGATTTGCTCAGATATCAATTTCTGGAACACAGTCTGGGGCTCCCATAGAAAAATAAAAACGAAAAGGCGCTAAACTGCATGAGTTATGAGCTAGGGGCCAGCGAATCACTGTTAATGATACCTCTGCCCCATTACGTTCTCTGGGGATATGGTTGAGAGTTAGACTGAAGTAACGCTGGCCTGCTGAAATCGGATGTAGTTAGTTGTATACCTATCAATGATTACATAATAAGTAACCGATTTTGTTCAAAAGTAAAATAGTAATGTTTGGTTGCTCCACCTTTGTAAATTGATAGTAATAATTTTGTTGTGTAATACGTGCTTTTTGTTATTATGAACTTTAATTGGAAATCTCAATAATTCGTAAAATAAAATACAATGCGAAGTCTCAGGTTTTCTAAATCAAAATGAAGTAATGATATAAAATTTTCTATGACCAATTTCATTTGCACTACAAAACCACATATTTATCATTGGTCTTAATAATTATAATAATAAAATTTGATTGAAATGTTTATTTAATATTATAGGTTATAAGAATCTTGGCATTATAATTAAAATTTGCCAATTTCTCTTAAAGTTATGGTTTAGGATCTTATTATATTTTATTAAATTATATTTCTCAATATTTAATAAAACACTAAATTAAATTTAGTCGTTATGGTTCATTTTGGAAGGAAACAACTTATCCGAACGAAGTTTCCGAGGGTCTCGTTCCGTTCCGAATAGTTCCATTGCTGGAATTCGTCCTACAAACCGTTCCACCCGGAACGGTCCATTCCTAACCCCTACTTGGTAAGGAAAGTATTGCGATCGGGGAAAATTTCCAATGTGCGCTTTTCAGCGGATCTTTACGCTTGTGAGCCATCTAAATCAGTCAAGGTCATGATAAGTTTTCAAAGCGCAGGTTTGGCAACTATTGGCAAATGTCTCAATATCACTATCACTGTTTTTCAAGTAGCGATATCTCCTATCCGAACTTTTCATTTTGGATGTTTTATATGTGTTGAATTGTAGTTTAGTGAGCATTGCAGCATTATATAGGGAAATCTGCTCATCAAACTGCTATTCTTTCTATTCTTCAGCTGTTAGAAGAGGTTTGCCAAATCCGAATCGTTGAGAGTTTCTACTGCAATCGACTTTGCACATATTAAATGCGCCGATATTTTATTTATGCTTTAATGGTGGATTACGTCCTTATCATTAAAATCTGGAAATTTAAAGTAAACATCCATACGACGCAGAAAATAAATACTGTGTAATGCGGTAAAGATATTTATAAATCAACACGATAAATTTTAATCCTATCAGAAAATAACAATTATAGATCGTAGGAAAATTAAACTTTTTTTGTAATCCTAGTTAATCTAAAAATTAAAACATATTGAAAGCATTTCTACGTTATAAAATTCAGTTAATGCTATATTTTCATAAGTTATTCTGATTGAGGTATTCATACACTTTAAATTCTTTAATTTCTATAACTTCATCTGCAAAAATAACATTTATATTTCCATAACTATGAAACTAATTTACATTATTAATTATAATAAACAGTTAGTATATTTTTTATTTTAAAAAGTTTACTTTTAAGATTTTTTTATATTTTTCCCCACTTGCGGCGCTATACAAATACAATACCCGGGACTTACCTTTGAAAGAACGATTACTTCTGCGTGCCACACGTTGAATATAAAATTATGAATCTTGATCAAAGAAAAATTATATTGTTTGGTCGTTTCTGTTTCAAGGTGTAAACCCTTAAGGATATTCTATTCTCTTCTACACGAAAAATAGGCAAAGAATATAAACCATTAACGCACCTCGTAAATTTAATGACACCTTCAATATTTACACGCCTCATAAATTTAATGACACATTCAATATTTACACGCTTCACAAATTTAATAACTCATCCATTATCAACAGGCTTTCCAATAAAAATATTAATTGGTTCATCTTGGAATATCTAACATATACAATTATATTTTGTATTGTTTGTATGAGCATAGACACTGGAGTCAAAATCGAAGTAATTCTAATCAAAAATACCATTGTTCACAGATTTCATAAAAATAATATTGACTATCGTTCGTTAGGTACAGACAACTTATGTTTCAACTTTGGAAATACTAATCGTACTACTAAAGACTGTCGTGGGCAGTAGAATAGATTAAAATGTAATTCATGAGGAAAATCTGGCACATAGCCAAAGTATGCATTTCAACATTGTTGCATAATAATAATAATTATGAGTTAATGTATATACTGGATTATAATAATAATAATAATAAACCTGTAAGGGGCAACTGATAGGTGCAGTTGCTGGGATTTTACAATCTCCAGGTTTCCTGAGTACAGTACATCTACAAATATACACACAACAGTCCACTAGATTAGGGCGGGGTAGCCGGTAACCTCATATATCAATCAAATGATATAAAAATAGTCACGAGTTCGCGTCCCGGTGCCGAGGGAGTCTTTTAAATCCCCGCCCACACTACCTGGCCCGGGAAAACCCCGTATAGCCTTAAACTCCCGTATAGGAAGGGGAGGAAACAAAAAAAAAAAAAAAAGTCCGCTAAATTATTTAGACTAACACTAAAGATACATACATCCACGGTGGGCCAGACCCCCTTACCGTGCACCCCCCCCCCACATCCCTATAAATTGCATATCGTTGTGTTCCTTGTAACAATTTATTAAAAAAAAGCCAATGTTCCCACAAAAAAAAGTGAACGCACTGCCCCAAAATGGCGTCCAAAGATGGCGGATTGACGACTTTGACTTTAGTTAGTTTTTTGGTCACTGAGAATCAGCATTAAGCTTAATTTCCTCATAGTTGGTCTTTTATTAAAGCTGAATAGTTATAGAATAATAAAACATGAAGAAATATTAAAAACTAATTGGCTAAGGCTATGAAAAACATCAGTAAAGTCAATTTTTTTAACAAAAAAATTTTCAAGTTACAAATCAAGCGTCGTTTGTAATTAAACGGCCTACAATAACGCAAAACGTGCTGAAATAAACCATCTGGAGAATATATTTCTCTTTCTGAAACGCTGATTATTTTTTACAAATGTTTGAGTAGTTCTGTAAAAAATGCACTTATGCGGCAGAAAAGCGGTACTGGCGTGGGTGCCTACAGGCCTCTACCACACCATTCAGTGCCCATAAATGGCTTAGTTATAGTGATATAATAACATTTTTGGTACATTATATTGGTTTTATTAACGAACAAACATTAATGCAATAATTTAATAGTAAAAAAAAAAATTTAATTAAAAAAAAAATTTATTATTATTTTTTTAAATTTTAACCTCCTTTATTCTATACGTAGGTCGTTTAAGAATACCTCAATTGTAAAAATGGTATAATTATAATAATAAAACTTAATTAAAAAATATTTTGCTAAATATCTTGATTTTTTTTTTATTTAACGTTTGCAATTTAACACTGTGTTTTGAATATTTACTGATTCTTAGAAGTAATTAAAATTTTTATATACTTCCCAGGAAATGAGTCATATTCATACCTTTTTTATAAACTAAAATAATATATACCTAATCTGAACTATATATAATGAATAGCTACCGGGTTGTTTAGTAAAACTCATATATCACTAATTAAAAAATTAATTTTTATTTCCTCTTTTTTGTGCAGAAGTTGGACTATATCATAAATAAATAGGAAATTTTAATATTGAATGAATTATTCTCTATGCACAAAGAAAGATATAAAGGGTGATCCTATAAGTTCTTCTATAAACCAAAACTGATTGTTTGGATTTGATCTCAAAATGAGAAAAAACGTGAACTTAAACGAGAAAATTGGAAAAAAAACATTAAGCTAACGAGAAAGGAAGTGCCAAAACCTCGGAATAGATAAAAAGGACCAGTTATATCCATTATATAGCTAAATGAATGTATAGTAGACAGATGAACAGAATATTTCAAGATGCTGCTAAAACGGGATCAATTGCAGTATGGATGATATTAAGTTGACGATGTAGGTTTATTATGGTGAAAACCACTTTATTTTCGATTGCTGAAGGTGCACATCGGGACTATATTAACTTTGAAGATGAATATAGAGATGTACATCGAGAAAGTTATAGCTCATAGCTTTCCTTCTGTTTAGTGGATTTTAAAAGATTTTTTAAGGTATCTTATATTAGTTGTAGCTCGTTATTCTTCTCGTTATTCTTGAATTGTTCGGAATTTGTACCATATCATAAAAAAATAGGAAATTTTAATATTGAATGTATTATTCTCTCTGCACAAAGAAAGATGGAAAGTGCGAAACCGAACTGCTTTGACAGTTTTGCGCGTACATAGGCAACAAGCATATTAGAAAATAATATGAAAGGACTGTGGTTTTTACCTTTACAAGAAAGGAGGTACTAGGAAATGTAATACCGATCAAGACCCATTCCTGTTTAGTGTACCAAACAAATTATACACAAGAATCGTAGAAGCTGGAATAAGAAATATTGTCGATTGCCAGAGTGATATGGATTGAGAAACTCAAGTTGCACATTGGAAGAGAAGTTGAAAATTGGGACTGTCTTCACTTTAAGGAAGGTTATAGAGAAGTCCACATAAAAAGAAAAATAGCTCTCTATCTGCTCAGTGCCTCACACTTTGGATTATGCTAATATCTAACTGTCTTTCAGAAAAACTCGTTTTCCTTTTAGATCCCTTAAAAAATCTTTTGAAAATCCACTAAACAGAAGGAAAGCTATGAGCTATAACTTTCTCGATATACCTCTCTATATCCTACTTCAAAGTTAATATAGTCCCGATGTGCACCTTCAGCAATCGAAAATAAAGTGGTTTTCACCATAATAAACCTACATCGTCCACTTAATATCATCCAAACTGCAATTGATCCCGTTTTAGCAGCATCTTGAAATATTCTGTTCATCTATCTACTATACATTCATTTAGCTATATAATGGATACAGGTCCTTTTTATCTATTCCGAGGTTTTAGCACTTCTTTTCTCGTTCGTTTAATGTATTTTTCCAATTTTCTCGTTTAAGTTCACGTTTTTCCTCATTTTGAGATCAAATCCAAACAATCAGTTTTGGTTTATAGAAGAACTTATAGGGTCACCCTTTATATATTTCTTTGTGCATAGAGAATAATTCATTCAATATTAAAATTTCCTATTTATTTATGATATTGTCCAACTTCTGCACAAAATAGAGGAAATAAAAATTAATTTTTTAATTAGTGATATATGAGTTTTACTAAACAACCCGGTAGCTATTCATTATATATAGTTCAGATTAGGTATATATTATTTTAGTTTATAAAAAAGGTATGAATATGACTCATTTCCTGGGAAGTATATAAAAATTTTAATTACTTCTAAGAATCAGTAAATATTCAAAACACAGTATTAAATTGCAAACGTTAAATAAAAAAAAATCAAGATATTTAGCAAAATATTTTTTAATTAAGTTTTATTATTATAATTATACCATTTTTACAATTGAGGTATTCTTAAACGACCTACGTATAGAATAACGGACGTTAAAATTTAAAAAAATAATAATAATTTTTTTTTTTTTAATTTAAATTTTTTTTTTTACTATTAAATTATTGCATTAATATTTGTTCGTTAATAAAACCAATATAATGTACCAAAAATGTTATTATATCACTATAACTAAGCCATTTATGGGCACTGAATGGTGTGGTAGAGGCCTGTAGGCACCCACGCCAGTACCGCTTTTTTGCCGCATAAGTTCATTTTTTACGGAACTACTTAAACATTTGTAAAAAATAATTAGCGTTTCAGAAAGAGAAATATATTCTCCAGATGGTTTATTTCAGCACGTTTTGCGTTATTGTAGGCCGTTTAATTACAAACGACGTTTGATTTGTAACTTGAAAATTTTTTTGTTAAAAAAATTGACTTTACTGGTGTTTTTCATAGCCTTAGCCAATTATTTTTTAATATTTCTTCATGTTTTATTATTCTATAACTATTCAGCTTTAATAAAAGACCAACTATGAGGAAATTAAGCTTAATGCTGATTCTCAGTGACCAAAAAACTAACTAAAGTCAAAGTCGCCAATCCGCCATCTTTGGACGCCATTTTGGGGCAGTGCGTTCACTTTTTTTTGTGGGAACATTGGCTTTTTTTTAATAAATTGTTACAAGGAACACAACGATATGCAATTTATAGGGATGTGGGGGGGGGGGTGCACGGTAAGGGGTCTGGCCCACAGACTAACAGTACACATCCTAGGATGACCTGGCAGCAGGTATAAAATGCATCTACCCATTAAAATGGTGCGAACTAGGAGACAAATAGCCTCGGACAAATCCGAAGTTAGGGCTGCTTCGGAGGGATTGGATAATCAGCCTTCGACATCTGCAGGTGGTGTGAGCGGTGCCTCGGTGTCGTATTTTCCCGTAAGACCGGCTCTCATAGGATTCTCAACATTAAACTCTGAACCGTGGAGTCTCCCGCTCGAGGAAGAGGAGTCATTGGCCAAGTAGGTAGGCAACGAAGGATGAAGTGGGACCGAAATATGAATATTGCCGCAATCCGAGCTTACTTATTGGCTACAACTTTAGAAATAGAAAAAAACTTGATACCGCAGTAGAATCAACCATTACTGGAATGAACAATACCCGCAAATAACGGTTTCATCCCAAAGACTCGCTGACCAGGTAAAGCAAATATTGGAGCGAAAGTTTTTATCAGAGTCAGAAATTATGGCTATCAAAACGGAAGCAGGCAATATACTGGACTAGAATTCGCAAAGAGAAATAGAACAAGTGGAA